CAAATGTTCCCAAAGGTTTTCAAGTGGTTGTGCTTGAGGCGCATTTGGGGGATTCAATTCTTTATCAACGTAATAGACATATTGGTCCATCTAATTTAGAGAATCTTTAGAATAATAAGAACTTGCTAAATCTGGAAAAAATAAATAATCAAAGTCTCCATGATACTTGTGAATGAATGAAAGAAGTTGTTTTTTTAAACATTCATCAATATAGACCAATGAATTAATTGTACAGCCTTGGAAGTGCGAACCAATGGCTCGGACATACCATGGTCAGATATGGCAATCCAGATTATTAATTTTTTTGGAAATATCTTTTTTCCTATAAAACAAACACTTTCTGGGCATGTTACTTTGTTGTTTGTGGAGTATCCAGAATTCCAGGCATATTGTCCCCTGCAAATCAAAAGCATTTTTATTCAAGGGATTTTGTGTTACAGAGTTGGTTAACTAGTACTTCCTGCTTCTTTACCTTTAATTGTTGTTCTATAGTGTATTTTAAAATCTTTTCAAAATTTTATATTTAATATTCATAATTTAATAATATTCATAATAATAATATTCAAAATTTTATATTTAATATTCATCAAATTGACGACCAATGTCAATTAATTTACACCAAATTTAAAACCTATTTTTTCCTGATTGACCCCTTTTTGATTCTAATCATCATTACCATCATGATTATGATCATCATTATCATCATCATCATTATTATCACCATCATCATCATCATCATCATCATCATTATCATATGATAATGATAATGATGATGATTATGCCATTTCTCTAATATAAACAATCTAGAGCATTTTCTTTCTTTAACTAAACCTTATTCATACAATATATAAGGCACTCTCTTCAAATTTTCTTATTTCTACCACTACCATTTTCTTCTGAAGCTTCTACCTCTCTACATGCTGATACCTAAATCACTTTAATCTTCTCTAACAAATGTTATTCAATAAGACACTTTTTTATAATCTGTCTAAGACTATGCCTCCTTTTCTTGTGGTGTTAAATCACACCACACATTCATCTGATCATCTTCTATTTTGGCAATTACTACACCATATAAATACTAAAGTTTATATAAATATGAAAGGATATTGTTTGCCAGCATCAAAATAAATAGCAAAAATATGTTTATAATTTGTATGCATAAAGTGCATCATGGAAGCCAATTCCTTCTGGAATAAAAGCTTGGAAGCTTCTATTCTTTTTCTTCAATATTAAGTCAGGCCTCATTCTACTCCGCATTTTTTACCATCTCGAGCAGTTGCTTTATTAAACAGTAACCATTTTTTTCATCTCTTTAACCAGAACATCTCTCTTATAAACAAATGTCCTTTTATTATTCCAAGAAGCCAATATAAAAAGATCCTGTCTGATGTTAAGCTCTGTTATTCTATTTATTCTCTGTTATTCTAGATTTAGTTTACTAAATCTTGTGTCATTATCTAAAGTAAGTTCAACTTATAATCTTTAATTCATGGGTCTGACTTTTTACTTCTTCCCAGAATATGCGATAGTGGTGTAGTGGTTGAGCGCTTACTTCATAAGCGAGAGGTTCTGAGTTCGATCCCCACCACGTCCCTGGTAGTACAATGCTCAACTCGTTTCTCTGTGCAGCGGCCTTGTTCGTCAAGGTTCGTGTTTCGGAGTTATAGAGTTGAGAGAGGGTTATAACCAAAAATAAGTAGCCTCCTCGACTGTAGTGGCCTTCTCGGCCTTGAGGAGGTGAATTAACAAAACAAAACAAAAAACAAAAAAAAAAGAGATTGAGGCAGAGTATTTTTCAAAAATTTTTTACTCTAATTCAACTCTTGAATCTAATGACCACACTTTTCCTGTCAGTTAAACAGATTAACCCATTGTTAAACATTAAAATCACTATGGCTTCTAATGCTAAAGTTAATTCTCAATTGAACACTTCTACAGTTTGTGCTTCAGACAAAATTTCCATCATAGTCTTAAAAAAGTATTCTCCAAAATTCTATTCAATTTTTGCTAAACTTTTAAAAAGTGCTAAACAAGTGGTTCCAATTTTTCAAATCTATAGGAAATACTTTGACCTCTCTAACTATCCTACGATTAGTCTTCACTCTGTTATTAGTTTCTTTATATAAAGTTTTTGAGATAAATAAATTATTTTTTTTCTAACTGCAGAACTAAAGTTATTCTTAAAGGCCTATACTCCACTTTATTTTAAATAACTAAAAATTTTACATCTAAAGTACCTCTATTAGATAAGGACTTAACTTTATACTCTTGTCTCGACAAAAAATCTTCACTTTTTGAGTCCTTAGAACATGCATTGGTTTTTAATCTGATCTCTCTTCTGTAAATCCACAAGCCACTGCAAGCCTATGGCTTGCAGTGGCTTGTGGATTTACAGAAGAGAGATCAAATTTAGAATATTTAAATTTTTTAAGGCAACAAAACTCATTTACTGCAAAAAAAGATTGCAATATTGTTGGCATTCCTATATTGACAAATAACAGCCCTCTTACTCTCGGACAAAGTCTAAAATTCACATTGTAAATGTAGTTAGACCTGCTTTATCTGCCAAGATTGAACCACACTCCCATTGTTGTAAGGTTGCATTTCTTTTTTCTACAAATACCATAATGGTCAATACTTAAATAAGCTATCATTTCTATTAAGATAAACCAAAACTCATTCTTGCTTGGCTTCTTATTCAATAAGTTGCATCCTTTTCCTGTATCTGTTTCTTCATGCTATAAAAACTTTTATTAATTCAGTTTTTTGTCCTTGTACATAAAAAAAGCCTTTTAACTCTTCCCCATTATGGTATTTTCATTTTTAATACTTCTTGCAACTTTTAAAGCTTTCATTTAACCATTTTCTAGTATTTTAAACTGTCCTCTATTTTATAGTAACTTAATAGTGGTTGCTTGCAATTTTTTTGGAAGTAAATTAGAGTTTAAAAATATATAAATATATGCCAGTATGTAATAAATAGTAAATGTAAATATAAAATTATAATACAAAAATATTATAAACTTTTTTCTTGCCCAGGCTATCAACCCCTGCTAAATCTTATAATTATGCCGGGGCCGGGTTTGCAAAAAGTCTAATTTTTAGCTGGGGCCCCCGATCACTTACTAACGACCAGGGTGCTTTCTATCACAAAAAGGATTGAATAGTTTCAATTATTTTAGGTTATCATATATTGTACTTCCAGTAAACCCTCCCTTTTCAAAATGATCTACAATTTCCTTTTTTTTATATAAGGTTTATTTACAAAAAACATTTTGAGTTGCTTTCGAAAAGATTCTTGTTCACCTACATTAAACCTCATTTTAAATAATTGTATTTAAATAAAAAAGTTTATTATTTTATATATATTTACATTTATGCCTACGCATAAAACCACAAAAACAAATGATAAAAACTCAAAAAATTCAAAGCAACCCTAGCTTCACTGCTTACACCTTAGAAATCTTTTATTATGCTCATATTACCAAGGTGCTCATGTATAACAAAATACAAAAAAGTGGAGCTAAAAAATTATTAAAAATGTCAGTAAAAATATTATGAAAAATAAAAGTATGATGAGAAGAGGGATACCAAACTTTTATTAACAATGAAAATATATGAAAAAAAAAACAACAAAAAACTAATAAATATCTCTTTATTAAACAATTTATTTTATCTATTGTTTTATTTTGTATTATCTGATTTTTATATTTAGAGGACATCCATAAAGTATATACGCAGTAAAACTACTTTTTTAGGACCCCTCCCTCCTTGTACGCACCTGATGCTTTTAACAATAACCAAATATTCCCTCCCTTGTACGCATTTGTTTGTTTTTGGGTAAACCCTTCTGCAATACCTGTATATGCACTTTATGGAAGACCCCTTGACACTACAAATTTTACTGGGGTTCTCATTCTAACTTCACCAATACTTAAATGACCCAAAAAGACACAAGTTTTATGACATTTTAGGTCAAATTTCGACAAAAACAAAAAAATTGAAAAAGATCTAGATGCATTCAATAATAATATATCTAGAACTTGTTCAACTTCTTTGTTATTGTCGAAAATTCCGTCCATAATATATATATATATATATATATATATATATATATATATATATATATATATATATATATATATATATATATTGTTAATTCACCTCCTCAAGGCTGAGAAGGTCACTACAGATGAGGATGCTACTATAACTCTAAAACATGAACCTTGACAAACAAGGCCGCTGCGCAGAGAAACAAGTTAAAAAAGTAGAAAGGGCTTGTGCTCCCAGACTATGTATTTTTTATGACTATGGATAAAATAAGTTTCACATGTGCACCAGATATCAAACACTGTTAAGTCGTATGTGGTATGATTTTAAATTATATGGCAACTTATATTTGTTTTATTTGTACATGGAATAGAACAAAAATTTCTTAAACCAATTATTTTGAGCTAAGAACACTTGGGGCATTCAGATTAAACAGTTGAATGGATAAAAAAATTATATAAACAAAAATTAAATCAAAAATATATTTGCTGTATGGACAAAATCCTTTTATTTTAAAATGAATTAGCTGTTAACCATCTTTTCTCCTTAGAACTATATCTCATGGAAGGTGCAATAAACTTTAAAAAAATAGAAAAAATAGCTTATCTAGAATTATTTGAAACCTTTCTAGATAATTATAGGTAATCACAGTAACAGTGAACTTAAACATCATATTTCATAATGTAGGTTATTTATACAAAGACTTGCAAGCAATAGATTTCTTTAGCAAACAAGTTGGGGAAGCTTTTTCCAACTTATTTGAAATTCCCTGCTTAGAATATATAGAAACAAAAGCAATTTCCTACTCATGAGAAAAATCAATTTACTTTTTTATTAAGTAAATTATTTCTTAATGTAATATAAGACTTCCCTCCATACCCTAATCCTTAAAAACTAATTTATATATATTATGTTTTTTTAAAATAATATAAGCTTAAAATGAATACCTGATGGCATATATCACCACTATATGGAGAAATACCATAATTAGATAAAGCAATACACTCTCTTGCTAATAATAAAATAAGAAACAAATTTAAAAAAAAACAGATTAAAAAAACACAAAAAAATGCATATGAAAAAACACATTAAAAAAACAAACATAAAAAAACAAAAACAAATACAAAACACATAAAATAACAGATTTTTAAAAACATTTATGCTTAAATACAAGTTAATTCTTCGAATTTCAATGAAAAGTTTGTTTATTACCAGAAAGCACTATAAAATCTTCCGCAAATTGTTATACATAGCTAGCTTCATCAAACGATCTTTGACTTTTAATCAAGTGAAAGGTCAAAGAAAAACTCCAACATGTAGCCTGGATATGTTTGTGACATTTTTAAATTCCACCTCCCCCCCCCCCCCCAATTTCCATCAAAAAAATATTTAAATAAATAAATATAAGAAAAGTTAATAACAGTTATTAAATAAATATGTATATAAATTTATAAATCAACTGACAAATAAAATCATTTTTATTAGTATTTAATGCTGTAACTGGGCCAATAACCATGCTGCAAAGCAAACTGTGTCAATTGATTTGATTTCATTTAAAAGTTGAAACTTGCTTCAAAAGTAGTGTTGTTATTGACTTCGACTAAATCAATTAAAAGTCAACTAGTTGAAAGTCAAAGTTAGTCAACTTTGAAAAATCAAATAGTCAATTTAATCCACTATGGACTTTCTACTTATAGACTAAAAGTCGATTTAGTCGAGTTAAAATCTTAAAATTCATTCAATTTAACTTTTTAATCTCTAGTTTTTGTTTGTTCAATTAATAACAATAATATGTAATATTATAACTATTACCTAGTTTTTTGTTTACTCTCCAGGGCTGCTCTAAGCTGGCTTGGGGCCCTATGGCAAAACTAAATGTGAAGCTCCAAAATCTAAATGTCATCTATACAATCACATAAATACGATTATAATGACTTTTTGATATATAGCCACTGTGACAAGAAATGATTTTCAATTTGAACCTCTTTACCCGAGAAAAACCTTTAGAAGTATGATAGTACAAGTATTTAGGAGTACATTTGTTGTAGAGTTGGTTTTGAAATTTTTCATCATTGTTTGTGAAAGAAAAATTGATTTCAATTTTTGATTTTATTACTCTCAGCAAATGAATTACATTTTCTAATGAAAACATTTGAAACTTATTTTAACATATTTATTCTATAAATAAGCATGTAAATATAAATAAGTGTACTTATGACTTAGAAACAAGAACAAATAAAAAAGCATTTAATTTCTTTAAACCAAATTACTTTAGTAGTGAAACAAAGAAATATTAGAATAGTTAAACTGTATGCGCAAACATCTTGAATTGAATTTTTTTTTTTTGCACACTTTTTTATAATGGTGAATATGTTTTATTAATTATTAATTAATGTTTATATTTATTTAATATATATATAAAATATTTAGCATTGATTAAAGAAATATCATCTTAAATCAAACTAATATGTCATATCTTCTTAAGTCTGATCAAACATAAATTTACTTAAACGAAACATTTGTTGTCTAACCATTCGGTATACTTTATATCAAAATATTTTTAAAAAAAGTTGAAAATGGAGTTCTACAGAGTTCTAACCTTGAAAGTAATTTGTTTTTGATATTTTATACATAATCTAACAGATAAAGATATTTTATTAACCTAGATGCAGATGATCTGCATATAGTTTGTAAGTCAATTGAAAATACAAAAAACAATTAGATAGCACCAATATAAAATGGCTAAATGTTTGAAAAAATATAACTATAAAAAAACACATGAAAATTGTACATATAAGTTAATAAAATCATATCTTTAGAACATTGAAAGTTGAACATGATATATAGGAATTATAATTTAAAATTCAGTCATATTTTAAACTGCCTTGTCAAATTGATGAAGCTGTACATCAAACCAAATGATCTTATCATAAGAGCAACCAAATAATTTGATTTAGTTAATGTCAAAAAATTATTAAATGCCAAATGAAAACAGATTAATCATAAGCTAAACAATGTTACAAGATTGTTATTTTGGGGCAACCTTTGATCAGTTATGGTCAACCGGAGAAAATGGGTAGCTGGGGTAAAATGGGAAGAGCGGTTTATTAATTTTGTTACAAATGCACTATTAATGTATTGAAATAAGTTTTAGTTTTTTATGATAGTGAAATAATTTTTATTAAAAAAATTGTAACTGGGAATTTTTGTTACTGCGCTGCTTCTCTACAGGGTGTGCCACCATTTTGGATTTGGTTTCCATGTGCTTTCACTAACAGGTAAAACTTTGTTGTAAAAAATGATGTATTTAACATACATAGCCACAAGTTACAGATTTATAAGCAGGAGAAATTCCTTTTTTCAGTTAACAGGAATGTGAAAAACCAAACAATTTTAAATATTAGTTGAAAAACCAGAATGGGGGAAAATGGGTATACTAACAAATACTAAGATAAGCTAATGCTACAGTCACAGTGATATCTAGCAGCATTTATTATTATGTAATATGAACTAAATGCAGAAAAGAATATACATTAATTCATTTATTCTGTTTTGTTGCAGGCCTTCAACAGTTGCTGATTTGATTTAAAATGCCAAGGAATTTCATCTGCAAAACACAATCCAACTATACAAAGGAGGACTTGGAAAATGCAAGACTTATCATTGAACAAGAAAGGTCAGTTTACAAAGTTTCAAGGGAAAAGAAAATTCCATATGAAACTTTAGAGAAATGGGTAGTTCAAACTCCAAAGCAAGTTGGTTCTGGACGACTCCCCATTCTTACTGCTGATGAGGAACGTTTGATTGTTCGCACACTGTGCTACTTAGCTAATAGCGGATTTCCATGGGATCATTCTGACTTGATATCAATGGTTAAGTGTTTCATTCAAGAAACAGGAATATCTAATCCTTTCAAAGACAACTACCCTGGTGAAGACTAAATTACTGGGTTTGAGAAGAGATGGAAGAGGTAAACTCAAGGTGGACCTCTAGGTACTTGTTATGCAACAACAAAGTCAGGATGGATGGAAGACGCAGTTTTGAGTCATGGTTTAAAAATTTCATTAAAAGGGTTGAACATATTGAGAAACCTGAACTGCTTTTCATGATGCCCATGGCAATCATCTAATTTAAATAGATGATTGCCATGGACATCATAAAAAGAACAATAAAGTCCGCAATGGCAAACAATATCATAATACTATGCTCGCCACCTAACACAAGTCATGCTCTTCAGCCTCTGGACGATTGGGTCTTTATACCATTAAAACTTGCATGGAAGGACATTCTGAAGAGATGGTTTAGAGAGAGTTGTCTCCAGAAAGTAAGCAAGGAGGTTTTTTTTCTCACCTATTTAAGCAACTCTATGACCAATTAACAGAGAAAAATGCACTAAGCGCATTCAGAGGTAGTAGGCTCTATCCATTGAACAAAGAAGCAGTTCAACATAGGATTGTTTCAGCTGTCAAGCTAGTGGAAAGCAATCAACAGCCAATAGTTTCAGCTTCAAACGTTATGGAGGCAGAAGCATACAGACTTATTCAAGTTCAACCAAGAGTTTCACTTTTAGACACTCTGGACACTAACAGAATTTAAAGTGCTACAGCAGGTAAATTTGAAAACAATATCACCAGGTTGTTCACAAAATAACATGAATGCAATTAGCAATGCTGGAAGAAAAAGAGTGCAGGCAAAGGTTGGAGAAGTCTTAACAACAGAGGATATTGTGACCAGGCTGTTTAATGAAGAGAAAAACAGATTGGCAAAGAAATCAAAAATAGCAGGTTTCAAAAATGCAAGCCAAACTAGAAGGCCTAACCAACAAATAAAAGAAATAATGATTGACAAGATTGAGACAGTCCCTGAAGAAAAAGGACAACTTCAATGTAATTGTTGGGGATTGGGTGCTGGTAAAGTATGCGGGTAAAAAGATAAACCATGAGTTCTACAGACTTGTGATTGAAACCCCAGATGAAGGCCTGTACACTGTGAAGTTTCTGACAAAGTCACCATTTGGGTCATACTATGTTTTTCCTGAGAAGGATGACATTGATAATATTGTAAGACTAAATAATTTTTGTGGATCATCCTCATTCAAATATACATATGTGCAGTATAAATGTACATTTTCCACACACATTTTGATCATAAAAAATGTAACTTTGTTTAAGTTTGAATAAAATTTCAGAAAAGTACAGTTATTTTTAATTATCTTTATTTAAAACATTTAAGTTTTACGATTAGAACTCATTAACCATTTTACCCCATAGTATACCCACTTTACCCCACACCCTGGGGTAAAATGTGTATACCATGGGATAAAATGAGTATATGCCCTATCTAAAAAACAGTAAAATAAAAATATTCTCTCTAAATTGATTTTAATTCTAAATAGGTTAGTAATTTTTGAAATAAAAATTCAGTAAAATTAATTACAGCTCAACCAGTGCAACTGTAAATGAAAACCATCTCAACTTTATACCTATTTTACCCCGGTTGACCCTATAACTTTTTGAACTTGCAATTACCCAACATCACTTTCTTTGTTGTTTTGTGTATAGATTATTTTCACTGAAAGTTTTATTTAGTTACACTAATTAAAAAAAGTTATCAGAAAATTACATTTTAATTAAAATTAACAAGTGTTGTAATTTGTATCCTAATGCTAAAATTATGGACATTATAAAGTATTTTGTTATCTTCAATTACCCACAAAAGAACCATCTTGGAGAAATCCAAGAACTTTGAACTATGATCTCGTAAACCTGGGTTGGACAGAAAACTAAAAATTAGAAATGCTCGGAGTATAAATTGCATTCTCTTAAACAACCAATCTGGAACTTCAACAAAAAAAATTACAAAGAAATTTATACGTGATCATTCCTACATTGTAAAAAATTACAAAACAAAACAAATATTTATTATTCAAAGTGTAAACTTAATTTTAACAAGCTAATAAGTACACTCATGAGTAACTGTCAAATATTCCCAAGAAACCACTTCCAAATCTTTAGCTTCATTTGTTAGTATAGGTTCATCATCAGCATAACATAATTTAGCTCACCCTCACTTTTTTTTAGCCACCTGCCACATAGGCAGCAGAGCTCTCTTCAGTTTTGGAAAGAGTCACATCATAAATGCAAGCTTCAATTTAAGTTTTAAAAACAATTGCAGATTATTTGAACTTTTATCTTGCACAGTCTGTGCAGGCAGAATAATAGAGTTAGAGAACACAACCAATCTGTGCCACAGAATGGTGATGGTCTTTTAGTCTAATATTCTGCCTTTTTACAAAAATATTGACAATATTTTATAAACATAAAACCTGCAAAATAAAAAAGGATACTTAAGCTTTCAGAGCAACTACTACTTTCACATCAAATATTTTTAAAACATATTGCACATTCTGTAGTTGAAGTCCGGAAAATAAACAACATATACAATAAACGATATTCAAAATGTAATCTCTTTCATATTGATATAGCTTTTTGACAGCAGAAATTTTTTGATATTCTTTTTCTTAGAAAAGAAACCAATGGTTCTTTTGCCAAGTCATAACTTTTGACACTTTTCAGAAAACCTAGTTGTTACGTAAACATTTATGTAAATGAACAGTGTCAAACATGTAATGTTTGATATTTTTCATATTCAAACACTTTTACTATAAAAATTTACTCACTACGAAACCACGAGGTTAATGGGCTTGACACTTCTACTCTTCTGATTAAAAATTCATTTAATTCAGAATAAACCAACATCAATCGCAAGAATAAAGCAAAAAAAAATACAAACAGAAATTTGAACATTTCTCTCTAATTTTTGTTGTTTTTTACATCATATTCATAAGAATATATTTGTTATGACTATGATTACATAAAATTTAATTAACTTGTTTTAAAATAATTTTTATCAAGTCGGTTTTTCGACATTAAGCGGGTTTTTCATTATTAATTTTTTTTTCGTCAAAATCGTCGCCGTTTTAAAAACTTCTATTTTTTTCTTTTTTTGCCGTTATCTGCAAAAATCTCAAGGCTAGACTTACCATAATTTTAAAGTTGTAAACCGGGACACGCAGGGGTTGCGGCGGCGGAGGGGTTGTTTAGAAAGAGGTATTGGTGTATGCGTGTGTGTGTGGGGGGAGGGAGGGGGAGGGGATGGAAGGGGTGGGGGAAGGTTGCAAAATGCTGAAATAAATGACCAGAGAGATAGGAGGGATAGAAAAATAGTGTTTTTTTGTGCTTCAAAAAACATGGCACCCTTTAATTAGGTTTCATGAAAGTCTTTAAATGAAAGAGAAAGCACTCCATTGCTTAACTGCTAAAGGGATCTAAAGGAAAGAAACAACACCGAAATATTTTTGTATTATTTGTTAAATCTAACAAAAGAAATATGGGAAAAAAACTATTTACTATTTTGTTTTTATACGATTTTGATACTGTTTTTATACGAGTTAATACTGTTAAGTTTTTAAATAGTATACGATTTTGAACTAGTTTGTTTTTATACGAGTTATATTTTTCAGTAGAATGTACTTTTTCTAGCAAGTTTAAAAATTCTGGAGAGCGATCTGACTCATCTACCGTCCCATTAGTCTTCTTCCTATCATAAGCAAGGTTTTTGAATCTTTAATTAACAAACACTTAATATCTCATCTCGAATCTCATAACCTACTTTCTGATCATCAGTATGGATTTCGATCTTCTCGTTCTACGGCTGATTTGCTATCAGTAATAACCGATAGGTTTTATCGCGCATTAGATAAAGGTGGAGAGGTTAAGGCCATTGCTCTTGACATTTCTAAAGCGTTTGATAAAGTTTGGCATGCTGGTCTCCTCCATAAGCTTTCTTCTTATGGTGTATCTGGAAACATCTTTAAGATTATTGAATCCTTCCTTTCCAATCGTAGTATAAAAGTTGTCCTTGATGGACAGCACTCTTCTTCTTATTCTGTAACCTCAGGGGTTCCCCAAGGTTCAATCCTTGGCCCTATACTCTTTTTAATTTACATTAACGATCTTCCAGATATTCTCACATCTAAGGTGGCATTGTTCGCTGATGATACTACCATTTATTCTTGTCACGATAGGAAGCCAACTCCCTCTGATTGCTTGCAGGGGGCATCATAAATTTTTAGGAGTTATAATTGATGAAAATTTATCTTGGAAAAGTCACATAAATGCTTTAAACACTAAAATATCAAAAAACATAGGTCTACTTTATAAAGCAAAACCTATGCTGTCGCAAAGTAATTTAAAACTTATATATTTCTCTTTTATACATAGCTACCTCATATATGCGAATATAGCTTGGGCGAGTACGCATATAACCAAATTGAAAACTTTATATCGACGTCAGAAACATGCTGTTAGACTTATCTACCATAAAGACAAATTTACACACACTGAACCCTTATTTAAAGAAATGAATGTGCTTAATATTTATCAAATTAATATTTACCAAAATATATTGTTTATGCTAAAATTTAAATTAGGTCAAGTACCAAACCATTTTTTAAATAACTTTTTTATAAATAACGTTAATAAATATAACACAAGAGAAAAAGGAAACTTTATTACACCTTTCAAAAAAACAAAACTTTCCCAGTTCTCAATTTCATATCGGGGTCCTTATTTATACAACAAACTAGTAACTAAAAATAAATCAATCTGCAATCTAGATTCAATTTACAATCAAAATTTCTTGAAAAAAAAGTTAAAAAATCTGATACTGAATCTAAACAGATACTCAGAATTCTTCTAAGACTATAAATTAAAATACATATATATCAACTACAAAGTGAACTGACTCGTTTATGTGTATTATCTAAATGAATCTTTTTTTTTTTCTCAAATTTCTCAAACAATATATCAAAATGTGTTTATTACACACACAAAAAACACTTTATTTTTTCTTATCAAGTTTAGTTATTATGCTGCTAGTTATGTCTAATATTTTATACTGAGCTTATTTTGAGTTTATTTTTTATTATGAGCTAAATTTAAAGAATATATAAACATAGTTGTACTTAATATATAATTATATTTAACATAATCATAATAATATATCAAACACATTGTAAGGGCTTCGTGATAAGATCATTACGATCTTCTTGAAGTCCGGCCTGTACTATTTAATTATAAATTTCACTATATATATTTTGACTCACGAGACTTGTAAATATTAATTTACGAAACTTGTAAATGTTATATGTACGGCAAATATACGAATAAAAAAAAAAAAAAAAAAAAAAAAAAAAAAAAAAATCTGAGCTCGAAAAGGATCTCACTTCTGCTACAGCATGGGGCTCGCAGTGGCTGGTGAACTTTAATTCAGATAAAACTCAATTTTTTTTGGCCAATCGTTATCGCAATAATTTAGACCTTCCTATATTTATGAACGGTAATGTACTCGATGAGTCTCCTACCCTTCATCTTCTAGGATTAACTCTTACTTCTGATCTTTCTTGGAAACCTTATATCAAATCTGTTGCAAAATTAGCATCTGCTAAAGTTGCTTCTCTTTATCGAGCTCGTCACTTTCTTACTCTGGATTCTATTCTCTATCTCTATAAATCTCAAATCCGGCCTTGTATGGAATACTGTTGCCATATCTGAGGCGGATCTTCTAATGATACCCTTTCTCTTTTAGACAAGGTGCAAAAACGCATTGTAAACATAGTTGGACCTGCTCTTGCAGCCAACCTTCAACCTCTGTCACATCGTCGTAATGTTGCTTCTCTTTCTCTTTTCTACAAATACTATAATGGGCACTGCTCTAAAGAGCTAGCGTCTCTTATGCCATCTACTAAAATTCATTCTCGTGTTACTCGTCATTCAATTAAGTCTCATCCTTTTTCTGTTACTGTTCCTAAGTGCTCCAAAAACTCTTATTCGTCTAGTTTTTTTCCTCGAATATCAGTTCTTTGGAATTCGCTTCCTTCATCTTGCTTTCCTGATTCATATAATTTGCAATATTTTAAGTCGTCTGTCAATCGTTATCTTGCTCTACAATCTTCATCTTTTCTCTTCCAGTAACTTCCAACACTAATAAGTGGTTGCTTGCAACCTTGTTGGAAGCGAAGATAATTAAAAAAAAAAAAAAAAGTTTTAATATTTTTAAAAGTTCAAATATTTTTTAAAGTTCAGCTTGCAGTACAGCAATGCTGTCTGTTAAATTTTATTGACTTTTTCCCATAACTAATACAGTTTTGTTAAAATTATTTAGCTGATCATGCACAAAACAGAAATATAACTCACCTGTTTTATTTTCACAAAATGCTTGCAAAATACGTGAACAATTTTCTTGAGAAACAAAGTATAATTTCAGGGTAATAGAGAAACTGCGAGTAATAGAGAAAGAAATCTAGTACTTCCATGCTGGATTATTTTTCTATATTCCACAACTACAAAATCACAAAATTCCTTTAACTCAGTTACTCGAACTTTGAAAATACTAATATATTAAACTTGATTAATTAACTTAATACAAAATTCTACTCTAAATGACTTTATTCTGAAAGAGTTTTGTACCGAATTCAGTAATACGCGAAAATATATATATAATTAAAACTTTTTTTTATATATATATATATATATTTTTTTATTTGAATTTTCATGCAATATTTTTTTATACAATGTTCTTATATCCGAATATATTGTTGGCTTAGCATAGGAACAGCCAAAAATAGTCATAAGACTAATCCAAAGTAGGGTCCGTTATTGACCAACATTTTAGCGAACCGAAGTACTACTCAAGCTCTGAGTTGGTGGTGGCAGGATTTGAACTCGTATCTTACAACAGTCCGGGTTTAAACTTTTTGTACAGATAAAGCAATAGAAATTGTTTTTATTTTACAATGATAACACGATGCTATAATTCGAGAATCCTGCTTTTCACGACAAATTTACTGATACCAATATCACCATTAAAAAAAAAGGTGGACATAGCACTTTTGTGCTTTAAGGAATAGATAAAAATGTTGTTTACTTCGTTTAGCATAGATGGTAAAATAAAATATCAATAAAAGAAAACAGTACGTACCACGTGCGACAGATCTTAAATCATAAGATTTAGGATCTTAAATCTTATGCCGAGTACGTGCGCACGTGACACGTACTGTTTTCTTTTATTGGCATGGAAACCCTATAACATCTAGTTATTGTAAGTATATAAATAATAATAACAGACATATATATAACACACACACACACACACACACACACACACACACACACACACACACACACACACACACACACACACACACACACACACAGATATATATATATATATATATATATATATATATATATATATATATATATATATATATATATATATATATATATATATATATATATATATATATATATATATATATGTATATATATATATATATATATATATATATATATATATATATATATATATATATATATATATATATATATATATATATATATATATATATATATATATAATCTAGTCTAGATTCTATAAATGTTTTTACATTCTAACATAAAATTCTAATTAGTTTGCTTATTAATATTAATACTATAGTATTTCACTGACTTTTTTTTGTATTGTATTAAAAAAAATTGTTTTGTAAATTAATATGGCACTAATAATGATATTTCCAAAAAATTGAGTTTGAATAATGAACCATGTGAGGAAGGCTTAATAAAAAAAAAGCATGTGAATAATTTTTAATATTTAAGATTAATAAATTACATGAATAGATATGTAAATATCAAGGAAATTTAATTTGCATATATTATGCTTGTTTTCCCAATGAGATATCAGCATTTAGGCATAGTTTTTTTTTTATTATTAAAAACTATCAGTATGGTAGTAAATCTATCATGCTTCAATCAGTGTAAACACAACGATTCTGTTCATAACTACAATGTATTTTATTATATTATTTTGCTATAGTAATTTTGCTGGTGATTAAATAATCTTTTTCACAGTTCTGACAAAAACAAAAAAAGATATTATAGCTAATCTTTACTTCAATGACACAATCATAACCCAAATAAAGCTCGCTTTTGTCTCTATGTTTTTTAATTTTAGCACCTTTATTTTTTTTTATACTTATCATGTATTACTTATTGTTGTATTATTCATCATGTACTTGTATGGAGACAAAATTTTCTCCATAATTGTTTAATATTTTTCTGTGGGCCTTCATAGCTCAGTCTAGTTCAAGCAACACAGATTTTCAGCATCACATATCACAAAATTATTAACTTTTTTGGATAGAATATTTTCTAATTTTTTAGTTTATTTTATTTATTTTTAACTGTTTTAAATTAACTATTAATTTTGTTTTGATTTAATATTGTTAATCTAAAACTTTTTTTTATTAGTTTTTAAAGTTTAGGCTTTTTATTTAGATAAATAAAATGGATCATAAAAGTTCACCATCAGAAGTTACAAGCATCCCAGTTTCAGAAAAAAATGTTTGGAATAAAAACAGTCTTGTTGAAAATAAAGATGATATGAAATGCAATAAATCTGATTTGTTTAATTGTATCATAGAACAGATGGAGGGAGATATTCATAGTACTGAGGAATGTAGCTTTTGGTTAGATGGAGGTTTGTTTTATAAAGGTAATGTAAAGAATTGTAAAATGCATGGATTTGGAGTGGTAATATGGCCAGATAAAACAGAATATCGTGGAGAATTAAATGAAAACAATATAGTCGGCACAGGTGATTTCTTAAAAGTAATCTTAAAATGACATGATAAAAATTTTAATTTTATACTCAAGTTAATATCAGCAGCTTTTATTTTAAATTTATTGTAAAACAGTATTAAATCAGCATAATTCAAATGTTCATTAAAAATTTTAAAGTATGGCTTTAAATCTTATTCATTAATTTTTACATTGTTCTTTAGGCATATAAAGAAAGGTCACTTTGTAAAACCCTCTTACAAATCCTAAAGATATTTTGTCATTATCTAAAATCTCTATAAAAAAAATCTCTTTGTTCCTATTAGACTTTCATAAGTAAAAGTATAAAGTACTTGTTCCTTTATTTAGATGAATTGTTTACAAAGTTATTTACAGAATTGAGCAAAACTTTTTGAAAACTTTATTTAGGCAAAAGCTTTTTAGCAAAAAAAATGGTAAAAGGGTGTTTAGGTTGAACAATTGTTCATACGTTTTAAGCTAAAGCTATTTTATTACCATGACTTGTTATTTTGTACTATTTTATTTGTAGGAAAATAATAAAATAGTAATATATAAAAAGTGACCCCAAATATGTTTTTAAATGCTTTCATGTCAGATGTTTTCAAGTCTTGAATAATATTGATAAATCAGGTCTAATGAACCAGATAGTTTTTTAAACTGTATCGTCTGCACATGGTACAAGGTGAATTCAAATATACTGTCTAAATGTTGTTATAGCATAAAATCATTAAATATAATAGATGATTATAAAATATAATAGATGTAAGATGGAGTATCAATATGTTGCACAAAATGTTTTATTAAAAGGTTATGAAAGTTTAGTTAAAATATTTTATGATATTATTATTATTATGAAATGTTATGAAATATTGCTAGAATTTATTGATCTCAATTTTGAATCACAACGAAGAGTGAATACAATGTATAATGCATGTGATTGAATCATAAGATGGATCTGATGAAAAGGAGATAAAACCATTAATTGTTATTTTAATAAACCAATAATTAGATTGATATCAATAATTTAAATAATAGATCAATTATTTAAATAATTTAAATAATTTTATCAGAAATTGAAAATGAGGAGTTTGAAAAGGATGTCTGTAAAATAATTTGCTGAAAATAGTTTTTTAATTTTTAACATATAGAGTTGTTATTTAAATTGCAGAATTTTATTTTGCTCTACAAAACTATTAGTATTAATAGTGTGTATAACATGGATGAACTTTCTTTTAGACCCAATAAATGAGAGTTTCTTCTTTCTTTGGATCCAAGATTTTAGAAAATTTTTTATAATAATTTTCATATCTACTTATATATGTATAAACTTGATAAATATTGATAAATTTTGAATAATGTAAGAATATCTAAAATTATCTATGATAATAATTATTACTTAATCATAGAATATTTAAGACAATCCGAATAACTATGATATTTATGAGAAAAATAATAATAATAATAAAAATCATCTTAAAAATTAATTACTGGGGATTTTTTTTATTTAAATGTAGAATTTTTAAAGTTCAACCTAATGCAAAAAATAAAAAATCAACAAGAAATAATCAGTCTGACTTTATAATTATATTTATATACTTTTAAAATTTTTAAATGATATATTTTTATATATTATTTCAAGTTAGTTATATACATTATTTATTGATATTATGCTTTGAATTTTTTTGTTTTCAATTGCATCTGCTATTCAACTTCTTTAATAGTATAAATATACTAATAGGATCATATATATGGCCTGATGGAAGTTCTTATACTGGATGTTTGACAAATGGTATTCCACAAGGAAGTGGTGTCCATAAATGGGGAAATAAGACCTACTCTGGTTTATGGAAAGAAGGTATAATAACATCAGACTTCAATATATATATATATATATATATATATATATATATATATATTATATATATATATATATATATATACTCTTGCAACGTTGTCAGAAAGTTTTCCGATATTTTGTTGACATAAAAAAAAATGTAAATGCAAGACCAGAATTTTTATTTTTTTATTTTTTGATAGACTGCCTGCCCAAACCAAACCCCCAGTCGATGTAACAGCACTCTTTTGCGAGTCAGGCTATATGTCTGTCGATGTAGCAGCACTTCGTTGTAAGTCAGGCTATTTGTCAGTCGATGTAGCAGCACTTCGTTGCGAGTCAGGCTATTTGTCAGTTGGTGTTGCAGCACTCTGTTGCGAGTCAGGCTATAAGATAGTCGATGTAGAAACACTCAATAGCAAAAATAAAAACATTTTATTTAAAAAATAAAAATAAAAACATTGTTTATATTTTTAAAAACAATCGAAATGTTTTTAAAAACAGACAAACAAACATTTAAAAACATTCTGGTCAATTAAATTTGCATTTTTGCGGTTTTTTAAAAAAGTAATTAAATTAATGGTTTTAACTTTATGACAACACAGAAATATTGGATGAATGTCAAAAGTAATTAAAAGTGACGTAATTTATTGTCAAAAGAATCATTTTTTACCTTCCGTATTCTCAAAGCCAACAATTTATAGAACTATATATATATATATATATATATATATATATATATATATATATATATATATATATATATATATTATATATATATATATATATATATATATATATATATATATATATACAGTGGTGTAGGAAGGTTTTTGAATGTTTGAAATAACCAACTTATACACAACAAGAATATTCCAAACTTTTTTAGGTTCATATGTATGATGAAAAGATTCTTTAAAAATAGTACTGTGAAAAAAAATTATGAGCATATAAAGTTTGTAACTCCCTCAAATTGAGGGGGTCATAATTTTTAAACTCTAAAATATTTTACTATGAAATTCAAAATTTCTCAATGAATATAAGTTTAGTTGAAAATAGCACAAAAAATATTTCATCAACTTGTTGCTCTTACGTTTAGGGCAGAGGGGGCTAAGATTTTAGGGTTTCTTGTTCCCATTCTCCTATCACAGTAGTATTAAAATGATTGTAAAAAAGTTTGGAATATTTTTGTTGATTATAAGTTGGTTATATCAAACAATTAAAAAACCTTCCTAAGCCATTGCACGTATATACATGCGGCTGTGGCGCAGTGGTTAGAGCGCTAACCACAATATATATATACATATATATATATATATATATATGTATATATATATTGTATATATATTTCACAGATTTTTCAATAAAAAATTCAAAAGCTGATCTTTTCATTTATGAATGTAAATTGATGAGTTATGAGTTTAAAAAAAGCTAGTAGGATGGTTTATACCTAATAGAAAGGTTCTTTTACCTTGATTCATGGTTGACAGGATAAATTTTCTTATTTAAACTCAAAACCCGAGACATTTTTAATAAATGATCTGATTTTTTAACATTGTAGAGAATTAAAGAGAGAAGAAGCCATACCTTCTATACAGTTTTTTGATTTCTCTTTTTGCCAAGTTTCATACTGAAGGCCAGCTTGCAACTGCAACTCATTAAGTTTTATACTGATGGCCAGCTTGCAACTGCTTATTTTGTATAATAAGGAAATCTAAGCATATTTTTCCTTACCCACTCATACCAGCTAAAAACAGTGAATCAACTAAAAATGCAAAATGCAGATATTTCTAGTGCTTTTTAATAATTTGTGAACTTTACCATGCAACTGCAAAATAGCCTTGTTAAGAGAAAATCTAGCAGATATTGTGACTATAGAGTTACAGTTGATATAGTTGCTTTGTTTTTATTAACAGCTGTTACTACAAGCAAAGCAGCATTACCTTATGAAACCATATGAAACTATCAAACAATTCTGTTGAACTGTAGTATTACAAAATTTACACTTAACACTTACTTGAATTTACATCCATCACATGGAATATTGTAGCAAGGTTTAGCCAAGAAATTCATGGTAGAAAATAATATTAAAATACCTAAATAGCCTGGGAACTCCCCAGATTTCAATCCAATTGAGAATCTCTGGGCAATTGAAAAAAAAGACTGTGAAAACATGACTGCACAACTAACAAGCTTACCACCACTATCTTTCAGATTTGGTTTGAAGACCCAGAAATCTAAAACATTTGCGAAAATTTGGTAGATTCTATGCCAAAATGTGTGCAGAAAGTCATAGCAGTACTAGGATGACACAAAATATTTGTGTCCAAGTTTTTATTATATTTGAGAAAGGAAACCTTAAAGTTCCTGGATTTTTATTGTCTTTGATGCAACTAATTTGCAAAATTTTAAAATAGTTGACTTTAAAAAATCCAATAGTCAATTCAATTGACTGTGGATTTCTTACTAATCAACTAAAAGTTTATTTAGTCAAGTAATAATTTTAACATTCTTATGCTATTTATTTGATTTCATTTTTTGAATTTTGAATTTTTGTTTGTTCATTTAATAACAATAGCATGTACTGCTATAACTATTAAATACTGTTTCTTGTTTACTTTCTTCAAGTTTTTTCTAATTCATAGCATGTTAGCAATATTGAACCTAATTAGTTTTGTTGTTGTTTTTGTTGTTGTTGTTTACTTTATGCTTGTGATTTTCATAAATACTTTCGTACAGGGCATTTCCAAGCTAGTTCAAGGCCCTAAGGCAAAATTAAATTGTGAGGCTCCAAAAATCTAAATGTCATCTATACAATAACATTGTAAATATAGACTTAGTATAGACTTTTTGAAAATTAGCAAGTATTTAAGGCAGTGCCTAAATCATTGGGATCTGGAAATAAATTGTCCGATTGTTTGGGCGTCCCTGCTCTTATTTTGTTTTTATCCATTATTATTTAAAAACATTAGAAAATAGAAAGCAAATATAAATCTTTCAGTCACAGCAGTTAGCAAGTCAGCTGTTAAGCGAGAGGATTAAAAACCGTATTGATTTTTTGACATTAAATTATTTGACTCCAGATGGGATGTGAGAAATTTTTTGATCAAAGACTCAAAGACCTTGCTAATAACAGAAAGATAACTGATCAGACAATAATTCGAGGTTTTCTAGAGTTTTTAAAAATTGGAACAACAGATGTCATTTTCCAGCAAGTAGGAAAATAAGACTCAGTCAATCACTTATTAAAAAGTTTAGTGAGAATTGAAGAGAGTTCTGTAGAACAATTTTGTCAGACTGACAGGAATGTTTTCTGGACCACAAGTCGTAGAAGAGTTTAATTGAAATATGACTTTAGCAATGGAACCTGGAGTAATTTGAACTACTAACAATGGGTTAACCTGTTTAATTGGAATGGAAGGAAGAGAATGGTCATAAGATTCAATAGTCAAATTAGAAGTTCTTTGCAAATAGTTCCCTATCCATGTGATAGGTAATAAGATCAGTCCCATGAATGAGAGATAGAATGTTAGACCTACCCTTGTTAACGATGCTGTTGAAGATTTTCCAAGTCTCTATTATTGTTAATAATATTAGTTTTGAAGTATATAACAATATTGTAATCTAGTATATATATAATGTTGTAATGAAATATATATATAATGTTATAATGAAATATATATATATGTTTTAATGAAGTATATATATAATGTTGTAATGAAGTATATATATAATGTTGTAATGAAATATATATATAATGTTGTAATGAAGTATATATATAATGTTGTAATGAAGTATATATATAATGTTGTAATGAAGTATATATATAATGTTGTAATGAAATATATATATAATGTTGTAATGAAGTATATTTATAATAATGTTGTTATTTTTAATATTGATTAAAATTGAAAATTTTAGTTTCATTATAAAAGTGAGTTTGTTGTTTTTTGTTATTAAATGTCACTTTTTCACAGTTTGGTTGTTTATGTTAGGTAAAAGACATGGGAAAGGTATTTTGTACTATGATGACTCAGGTGAATCATATTATGATGGTGATTGGTATGAAGATAAACAGCAGGGCTATGGAGTACGCAGGTTTTATTGCTTAATCTTATAGTTTCATCCATTTTAAGTTACATTTGTGAACTATTTTTTGAATAATATTTATTATTTTTGTATTACTATTATTGTTGTTATTATCTTGATATGGACAATGTTGTAATTTTTGTAATTGTAAAACATATAATATCTACAAAGGTCTTTTTTTTGAATAGCAGCGCCATGGTAAAGGAACTGTGAATTTATATAAAGAATATGTAATTTTTGGTGTTGTAAAATATTTTCAGTATTTTTCATAATTATTATTGTTGTGAAGCTGACATTTTTACGTTTTGCTCTTATCCTGTATTAACTAAGGTGATAATTGTAAATGTATTGTATATTATTAACTAAGCTATCACTGTTATTGCTATTGACTAAGCTATGAAGGCAAATACAGTTTAAATACATTTTTCATCCTTATTAATAATAAACAACTATAAATAATAAATACATATGTTTACCCACAGCTACTGTGTAACAAATTATTTTATTAGTAAAAATTTTTAATAATAATGTTCAAGAGATTTTAATTAACATTCAAGAGTTTTCTGGTAGAATAGTTCACCATTCATCATTAAATAAAATTTTAGCTTTTTCTTAAAAATAATTGTGTTTTTTTCGTTACGGATGTTATTTGGAAGTATATTCCAAAGTTTAGGACCATAGTGGGATAATGCTCGATTACCAAAACGATTGCTGCATTTTGTTTCCTTTAAATTTAGTGTTCTTTCTGACATTGAGTAGTGAATTAAATTGGATAATGACGTTAGTGCTTCCAGTATAATAGATTTGTGCATTATTAAAAGGACCTTGAAATATATTCTTTCTCTAATTTTCAGCCAAAACTATTTGTTAAATTTCTGGTTGTTTACATGATTTTTTATTTTAATTTTAAATACCAGTCTTTTTGCACAACTTTGAACAGACTGTAGTTTTTTTAATAGTGAATTTTTAATTCCAAAGTAGAGGGACTTGCAATAATCTAGCTGTGCAAATATTAGTGAACATACTATGGTACACAAATCTTTGTGTGATAAGAACTGTTTTATTTTGGATATTTTGCTCAATATATTGTAGCAGTTTTTAACATCTTATTTGTTTGTATTTTTAAAGATAATTCATTGTCAATTATCACCCCTAAACTTTTTGCTGAGTCAACAAATCTAATGCATTCCTTGTTAATAAAAGTACCTTTAATAATAATATCTTTTTGAATGCTTGGTGGTGCATAATTAGTATTTTTGTTTTTGATTGGTTAATACATAAGAATGATTCACTCATCCATTTAGATATGTATTCAAGACATTTTGGTATATCCAGGACTAGTGTGTTATATTGAGATGAAGAAAGGAATGCTTTCAGAGTTTGATGTTCATCTGAGTATCCAAAAGTTTTGACATCGATTATGTTCATATATTTGTATAGTGGTCTCATATAGATATTACAGAGTTTTGGACCCAGGACTGTATCTTGTGGTGCTCCATATTTTACATTTTGGTTCGTGGAATATGAGCTACCAATTTTAACTTTTTGAGTATTGTTAACTAAAAATGATTCAAAGCACTTATGAGCTGAGTCAATTATACCTATTTCACTGGTTAATAGTCCAAGTAGTTTTTGCTGATCAATAGCGTCAAAGGCAGCACTTAGATCAAGTAACATTGGTACTGAAGGTGTATGTTTATCAAAGAGTTCAAATATATCATTGGTAAGCTTAAGTAAAAGTGTTTCAGTTGAGTGATGTTTTTTGTATCCATATTGATGTTCTATATGAAGATTGTTTGTTGTCATGTGGGAATCAAGACGATTGGAAACTACTCTTTCTATTAGCTTGCAAATGAATACTAAATTAGAAATTGGTCTATAGTTTTTGAAGTCTTCAGTGTCTGAGTCTAATTTCTTTATTATTGGAAGTAATGTAGCACTTTTTAGACAATCCATGCTGCTTGATTCTAGTGATAATTTTACTATTTCAACTCATATATGTATAAATGTTTGTAAATTGTTCAGCAGTAGATATGCTGGAATCAAATCATCAGGAGAGTATTTTACTCAAAATGCCATGGTAATTTTGTAAATTTCTTTGTATGTCGTTGGTTAAAAAATTTCTTAATAACTGCCCATTATAATCTGATGTGCTTTTCTTTGTCTGGGATATTTGAAGACTAGACCTGAGTTTTCTGATTTTTTCAGTAAAATAATTATTTAAGTTGTTAGCTAGTACTTCATCTACACCAGCTGTTGGTAGTACATATTCTTGAGTTTTATCTAGTAGCTTGTTTATCAATGAGAATAGATTTTTACTAGTAGCGTTTTTATGTAATAGATTAGAGAAATATATTATTTATTTTATATACGCAATTATTGTTGTTTTTTTTTTCTGAGGCATCTATATTCTCTTTTGTCATTCTCATTTTTTGTTCTCCAAAACAATTTTTCTGCTTTTCTTTGTTTTTGCCTGAGTTGCATATATTCTCCGTCAAACCAAGGAGCTGTTTTGACTATTTTTATTCTTTTTATTTTTAAAGGGACATGTTTCTGCATAATCTCTATCATTATTTGGTTATATACGATTATTTTGTCTATGATAATCTCATAATTACCATTTATACCATTATTTGGTTATATGATTATTTTGTCTATGATAATCTCATAATTATCATTTATACCATTATTTGGTTATATATGATTATTTTGTCTATGATAATCTCATAATTATCATTTATACCATTATTTGGTTATATATGATTATTTTGTCTATGATAATCTCATAATTATGATTTATACCATTATTTGGTTATATATGATTATTTTGTCTATGATAATCTCATAATTACCATTTATACCATTATTTGGTTATATATGATTATTTTGTCTATGATAATCTCATAATTACCATTTATACCATTATTTGGTTATATATGATTATTTTGTCTATGATAATCTCATAATTATCATTTATACCATTATTTGGTTATATATGATTATTTTGTCTATGATAATCTCATAATTATCATTTATACCATTATTTGGTTATATATGATTATTTTGTCTATGATAATCTCATAATTATCATTTATACCATTATTTGGTTATATATGATTATTTTGTCTATGATAATCTCATAATTATGATTTATACCATTATTTGGTTATATATGATTATTTTGTCTATGATAATCTCATAATTACCATTTATACCATTATTTGGTTATATATGATTATTTTGTCTATGATAATCTCATAATTACCATTTATACCATTATTTGGTTATATATGATTATTTTGTCTATGATAATCTCATAATTATCATTTATACCATTATTTGGTTATATATGATTATTTTGTCTATGATAATCTCATAATTATCATTTATACCATTATTTGGTTATATATGATTATTTTGTCTATGATAATCTCATAATTATCATTTATACCATTATTTGGTTATATATGATTATTTTGTCTATGATAATCTCATAATTATGATTTATACCATTATTTGGTTATATATGATTATTTTGTCTATGATAATCTCATAATTACCATTTATACCATTATTTGGTTATATATGATTATTTTGTCTATGATAATCTCATAATTACCATTTATACCATTATTTGGTTATATATGATTATTTTGTCTATGATAATCTCATAATTACCATTTATACCATTATTTGGTTATATATGATTATTTTGTCTATGATAATCTCATAATTACCATTTATACCATTATTTGGTTATATATGATTATTTTGTCTATGATAATCTCATAATTATCATTTATACCATTATTTGGTTATATATGATTATTTTGTCTATGATAATCTCATAATTACCATTTATACCATTATTTGGTTATATATGATTATTTTGTCTATGATAATCTCATAATTACCATTTATACCATTATTTGGTTATATATGATTATTTTGTCTATGATAATCTCATAATTACCATTTATACCATTATTTGGTTATATATGATTATTTTGTTTATGATAATCTCATAATTATCATTTATACCATTAAACCATAATTTGCATAAATAGTTGTGCATAAATAAGTTATTTTCAATTTAAAATGATAGTCACAAGAAACTGTTTTATTTAGTTATGACATTCAAGTTGAATTTATTTTTATTAAGATTTTTAAATATAAATGTATTTAAATATGTAAATAAATTCATAAGTCATTTTTAGGTCATTTCTTATTCACTATCACTAATCATTTCTGATATTAGGTATTGTTAGGTATTGTATCATTTCTCAGGTTTTACTCTTTCTAATAGTTTTATCAATTTAAACATATGAAACCAAAATATTGTTACTGGTATAATATAGGAGTATTTTATCAAAACATGAATTGTTTTTCTAAATCTATTATCTTTTTTCTCTTGGATATAATGTATTTGAGTACTCTTTTACAGGTACAAGAATGGAAATATCTATAAAGGTCAGTTTTTTGAATACCAGCGCCATGGTACAGGAACTATGAATTGGTTCAATATTAGACAAGAATACACAGGGGAATGGTTAAATGGTTTACAAAATGGTAATGGTACATATACATGGTATATGAATCGTAGTACAAATTCTCAATATCCATTTCATAATCACTATATTGGTAAATTTCTAAATGGTCAAAAACATGGTATTGGCACTTTCCGTTATGCTAATGGTGCATTTTATGAAGGAGAATGGAAAAATGATATGAAACATGGTCGTGGTAAATTTGTTTTTAAGAATGGCTGTAGTTTTAAAGGTAAATTTTGTTTATGTATATATTAAAGTCTATTTGTATATAGTCTATAGTTATGTATATATAAAGCCTATTATATTGTTAGCTTGAATTTAATGCTCAATAGTTTTATGTTTACAACAGTAACAATTATTACTCTCATAAGCACAACTCATTACAATTAAAGATAATAATTTTAAAATTAATGCCGTGTTGTAACTGTTAGTAATAGAAGTAGTTATTTTCCTTAAAATACAAATTTTTAATGTTTTTAGGAGAATTCCAAGAGAATCGAATAGTAGAGTTTCCAGATCTTGTACTTTCTGGTATGACTACACCTGACATAACAAAATGTGGAATAACTGTTATTTCACCATCTTCTCCTTGTGGGAATAATTTAAACACTGAGAATAATGTCATTTTTTTTGAAATAGATATCAGAGAAGTTTTATTTGAACTCAATTTTGATTGTGATGATAGTTTTATAGAATCAAAAAAAATTACAGACATTATGTTAAGATTTTTTTCACAAATTAAACAAATCTACAGACAATACAGTAAAGTTGGGCGTGAGCCTCCTTTTGATAATACATTAACAAATATTCAATTTTGTCGTTTTCTTAAAGATTATGGACTACACACCAAAGGTGCTTCTGTTTCAGAAATAGCTGCATATATAGATGCAGAAGGTCACTTAAATGATCCACTTAAATTAATTTTGTTAAAAGATTTTCTTAATTATATAGTTAAACTGTCTTTCTTCTTATACAAAGAGCAATTTGTTTCGATATCTTGTTGCTTTGAAGAATTAATGTCTTGTTTATGCAAAAAGCCATTTGCAATAGCAGGGTATGTATTTGCAAATAATTCTGTTGCATTAGAAGCATTGAAGTATATGAACAGTTGCAAAGAAGTATTTAAATACTTTTCAGATCCTCCTTATAATTCACTCACAGTGCATTGTTTAATAATGATTTTCAAGGAGTTAAAGATATTAAATGAGAACTTAACTTGCTCTAAACTTGTTTTGATTATAAGAAGTGAAGATGAAGAAGATAGTGTGTTAAATATAAGTAAGAGTTATTTTCAATATTTCTTAATATTTTTTTAAACAATATTTATAATATATTTTGCTTGTTTTATATAAAGTGTTATAAAATTTAGTTTTTATTTTAAAAAAAATATTTTAAAAACGTTTTAAAGCTTTTATTTTACACAAAAAAATAAGAAAAATAAATTATTGTATTATGGAAAATATAAAGTTAAAAAAAACTAAACATCTTGAAAAAGGCAGTTATTAATTGGACACTGAGAGATAATATAAGGTCTACTTATTCAGGGAAAAATTCTTCTTTTTAACGATCTTGATAGACATGGCTTCAATTTTATATATTTGGATGACATGTAAATGAAATTTACGCAACACTGACAGACTTGTTTAAACATCATTTAGTCATTCAAATTCATGACTGCTGATGGTGGCATTTTAGCTTTTTAGTCAGAAAGCTATTTGAGCAGTTGATTTTTGATCTCATTGATTTTTAACTTATGTGCTTATTGCCTATGTGCTCATGGTGCAATATATTAAATAACTTTGAAAAATTGAAGCTGATAGAAAAACCTTTAGTCAGGGTATCTCTGGCTTTAAAAAGATTTGTTGCACAACATTTTTTGTGAACAAAGCCTGTTGTACTTTTGATTTGCGTTTATAAGCTCTACAATAGAGCATAATGAATAAATGATACCTTTGAATAGTAATGAGGTCTGTAAAACAGTTTGCTCACTACTCTTTTTAAAAAATTGAATTTTACCTAAGATTAGGTACCTTATGATCCTGGAATGAGTGGTAATGAATCATAACAATGTTATGATTTTTTTTTGTTTAAAAAAAACAAAAATTTTTGTTTTTTTTTTAACAAAAAAAAACAAAATTTCTTTTGTCTCATTTGTCTCATTGCCTCGTTTTGCAAAAATATCTAATTCATTTTTTTTTTTTTGTTCTTATGTGCACTGAAAATTTTATCAATTAAGCATTCTGTATCAGTACAGTTAAAATGAATAAGAAAAAATTATATTCTGTAGTTGGTTTTTTTTACACCTTTTCTTATTTCTCTGCATTGTAGTATGTCCGAATTACAACAACAACATATTCATGTTGTTTATAACAGCAAAAATATTCATGACTGAACCTATAACATAGTCTGATGTGGTTTTAGTTTTGATATGATAATTTATTTATGATTTAAATGAAATTTTTGAATCATAGCTAAAGTTTTCAGCTTGAAACCTACCTGAAATGCACATGTGACATATTAAAAGTTTTCATGGTTTTGAATTTTAAATTCTTGATAACAAGGCTAGGTTTAGAGTTCAGAAAGCTTTGGTTTTATATAATAAAAAATGTGTGTAATTTGGTATTTTGGTTAAATAATCTTACTGTAATATAAAGTTATAATATGATAAATAATTTGTTGTTTATTTTTAATTGTTTTAATAAGAAGCTAATATGAAGAGAAAAGGATGTTTTTAGAATTAAAGGCATAGTTATAATAGGGTTGGTAGTGGAACAGATGAGAGCATGTGGTTAGATGTTGTGCAGATGTTTGATAACATATAGAGAGCCTATATACTCAGAGAGCGGATATACGTGTGATCGTTTTTGATTGGTTGTTCGATTTTTATGATTTTAGACGCCATCTTTTTGCCAAAAATACTAATTGCGATTAAAGTCTACTACTAAATTTGTATAAAATATTTGTAAAAGTATGCCTGGTTGTGCTGCAGTAGGTTGCCATAACAGGCCTGAGAAAGGATTTATTATGAAATGCTTCCCAAGAAATAAAAAACAACGGACGATTTGGACTTCTAAAGTTAAACGACTTAACTGGATACCTACAAACACAAGCTTTTTATGTGAAGTAAGCATAAGAAAATACAGTTTTATGTAATTAATCCTAGAAATGAGTTATTTTAGAATCCATACAAATACATTATATTTGTTCAATTTTTTTATTAAGGTACACTTTGATGCTGATCAATGGGAAAAAACCAGAGAAGATGGGTCAAGAAAACTCAAACATAATGCAATTCCTACTGTCTTTAAACATGTTAGAGCAAAATATAAGCAAAAAAATCCACTCTAACGTTTTCCAATACCAAAAAAAAAGAAAATAAGTTGTATAGAAAGTGGAGAAGTTGTGGAATATGTTTTAATTGAAGTAAATAACAATGAAGTATCTGAATCACTTTGCACAACTTTGATAAAAGTTTACTTATACAAGATTTAAATGCGAAATTGGAGAGATTAAAAAAAAAAGTCATTAATCAAAAAAAAAAAATTAACTTTTTAAAATCGAAAGCAAGAATAAATGCTATTCAAAAATATAATCATATAAAGAGAGATAAATTTAGAGTTTTGAAAACAATATTTACAGAAGATCAAATTTTATCCTTAAGTAGAAAAAATATGAAATTCATTAAACGGTCAAATGCTACTATAAATGAAGCGTTAGAACTCAAATTTACATGTGGTCAAAGTGGATATGAAAATTTACTTTGTTTAAACTTACCATACCCATCATTACGTACCCTACGACGAAGATTAGAAAATCTAAAATTTCAAAGTGGCATTTTAACAGAAGTCTTTGAGTTTATGAAAACTAAGGTGAAAGCCATGAAAATCCATGAAAAAGAATGCGTTTTAATTCTTGATGAAATTTCAATAACTGAAAGTGTTGACTATGACACATCTACAAGCTGTTACTATGGAGTTGTTACTAACCATGCTTTAGTTTTTATGCTTGGAGGAATATCTACAAGATGGAAAAAAACTGTTGCATATTTTTATACTGGAAGTTCTGTTAATGGGGGTGTTTTAAAAAACATTGTCCTATCTATAATAAAGTATACTGAAGAAATAGGATTAAAAGTTAATAGTATTATTTCTGATATGGGTGCCATTAACCAGGCAATATGGAAATCTTTTAATATTAGCTGTACTAAAAGTGGCAGTATTTCTAGTTCAATTAAACACCCATGTGACCCTACTCGTACAATTGATTTTTTAGCAGAAGTACCACATTTATTAAAGAATATAAGAACATCTCTTTTATGTAACAAACATTTTATAATAACAGCTAAGATTCAAGAAAAATATAAACTTCAATCGCCAATTATAGATTCAAAACACCTTAACAAGCTTGTAGACTTTCAAGAAGGTATGGATTTGAAGTTTGCTTACAAGCTTACATCTGAACATCTTGATGAAAAACATTTCAACAAAATGAAAGTATCAAGAGCAACATCTGTAATGAATCATGGTGTAAGTTGTGGATTAAAATTTATTGCAAGTGAAATAAAAGATGATTCTATTCTCACAACTGCTCGGTTTATAGGAATTGTTGATAAATGGTTTACATTAATGACTTCACGAAACCCAGGTATGGCTCTTAGCATGAAAAATAACAATCTGGTGTTATATTATCAACAACATCAGTTATTAACTTGCAAAATAAGTTTCTTTTAGAAAAAAAGTTTGATTTTCTAATGACATCACGATTTACACAGAATTGCCTGGAGTTTTTTTTTTTCCCTGGTACGTGCAAAACAAGTAATTCCTACTGCTCTTCAATTTAAAAATAACTTGAAACTTATTTGCGTTGCCCAATTTTTGAAAAAATCATCAAAAGGCAGTTATGATATAGATGACCGTCAATTCCTATCTGGTTTTCTTGATATAGTATAAGGTGCATAAGCCACAGCAAAGAGAGTGCATTTTGTTACCCAAAGATTGGGATAAAACCTCTAATTTAATCTTAAGTAATGCTGAGCAAAATTGTTTGTTTCATATTGCAGGTTATATAATTTCAAGAGTTAAAAAAATTGAAGAAGTTTGCACAATTTGTTTTGAATCTCTAGTTTCTAAAAATAGAGTTAAAGCTGATTACACAAAGTTTGTTACAGGCAAAGAGCACAAAGTGGGTAGTTTATTTTTTGCTAATGAAACAACATTTGCATTCTTTTTACAAATGGAGTTAATATTCAGATCATTTGAGTCATACTTAAATTCCCAAAAGAATTGTAATACTATGCTTTTAGAGTACATATTAACTTTGTATCCTAATTATCATCAAATTAAATTAAAGCTAAAAAAACATGTTTATAACATTCAGACTTAAAATATTTAGCCTTAAAAAAAAGCGTTTGTTATGTAAAAAGAAAAAAACTAAAAAAAGTTTTGTGAACATGGCAGCAAGAGTATGACAATGCATGCATTAGCACTAAAGGTTTAGGTTCAACTAATATATAAAATAAACTGTAAAGCTTTTTTCAAGTTACTTATTGATTACAACTACTTTTTTGCTGTTTTTTTTTTTTTAAAGGTATTTCACAAATAAATAAATAATTTTGTCGAAAAATAATTTTGAAAAAATAAAACATAAAAAGGTTTCATTTTTAAAAATATATTTTTGTTTAAAATATTATTGTGCTCATTTGTTTTTTTGTTTTTTTCTTTCAATTGTTTTTACTTGAATTTGTGAATGTCATATGCTAGTTTGGCAAAAACATGGCCGCCGTTTTCCGTATGTCCACTCTCTGAGTATATAGGCTCTCGAATATCATATAGACACATACTTAAATGAGAAATAGTAGATAATTTGCTTAAAAGGTATGTACGCATAACAGGTGACAAGAGGAAGCTGAAGTTCTTGTCAGAGTCTTGTTTTCCAGCCTGCTGGAAAGCAGCATCTGTTATCCCTATTTTTAAAAATTCTGGAAAGCGACCCGATTCGTCTAACTACCGTCCCATTAGTCTTCTTCCTATCATAAGCAAGGTTTTTGAATCTTTAATTAACAAACACTAATCTCTCATCTCGAATCTCATAACCTACTTTCTGATCATCAATATGGATTTCGATCTTCTCGTTCTACGGCTGATTTGCTATCAGTAATAACCGATAGGTTTTATCGCGCATTAGATAAAGGTGAAGAGGTTAAAGCCATTGCTCTTGACATTTCTAAAGCATTTGATAAAGTTTGGCATGCTGGTCTTCTCCATAAGCTTTCTTCTTATGGTGTATCTGGAAACATCTTTAAAATTATTGAATCCTTCTTTTCCAATCGTAGTATAAAAGTTGTCCTTGATGGACAGCACTTTTCCTTTTATTCTGTAACCTCAGGGGTTCCCCAAGGTTCAATCCTTGGCCCTATACTCTTTTTAATTTACATTAACGATCTTCCAGATATTCTCACATCTAAGGTGGCATTGTTCGCTGATGATACTACCATTTATTCTTGTCACGATAAGAAGCCAACTCCCTCTGATTGCTTGCAGGGGGCATCTGAGCTCGAAAAGGATCTCACTTCTGCTACAGCATGGGGCTCACAGTGGCTGGTGAACTTTAATTCAGATAAAACTTAATTTTTTTTAGCCAATCGTTATCGCAATAGTTTAGACCTTCCTATATTTATGAACGGTAATGTACTCGATGAGTCTCCTACCCTTCATCTTCTAGGATTAACTCTTAATTCTAATCTTTCTTGGAAACCTTATATCAAATTCGTTACAAAATTAGCATCTGCTAAAGTTGCTTCTCTTTATCGAGCTCGTCACTTTCTTACTCTGGATTCTATTCTCTATCTCTATAAATCTCAAATCCGTCCCTGTATGGAATACTGTTGCCATATCTGGGGCGGATCTTCTAATGCTGCCCTTTCTCTTTTAGACAAGGTGCAAAAACGCATTGTAAACATAGTTGGACCTGCTCTTGCAGCCAACCTTCAACCTCTGTCACATCGTCGTAATGTTGCTTCTCTTTCTCTTTTCTACTAATACTATAATGGGCACTGCTTTAAAGAGCTAGCGTCTCTTGTGCCATCTACTAAAATTCATTCTCGTGTTACTCGTCATTCAATTAAGTCTCATCCTTTTTCTGTTACTGTTCCTATGTGCTCCAAAAACTCTTATTCATCTAGTTTTTTTCCTCGAGCATCAGTTCTTTGGAATTCGCTTCCTTCATCTTACTTTCCTGATTAATATAATTTGCAGTCTTTTCAGTTGTCTGTCAATCGTTATCTTGCTCTACAATATTCATCTTTTCTCTTCCAGTAACTTCCAACACTAATTAGTGGTTGCTTGCAGTCTTGTTGGAAGTGAAGATGTTTAAAAAAAAAATAAAAAAATAAAAAAACAAGTTCTGAAAAATGGTAAAACTAGAGTCTGACTAGTGATTAATCTTAAATAAATTTTGTCTTTTTAAAATTTTCTATAGTTTATTTTTTTTTAGTTTAGAATTATTAGTGTTTTTTAAAATCAATGTTACTATTTATTCAACTGTTTAGTTACAATTGTTTTTAAAGAATGAAATTAAATAAACAACACTGGATAGATTTTGTTCTAGTTATTAGAAATATAAAAATACTGATGTAAGTCTCAAATATAAAAACACTGATGTAAGTCTTAATTATAAGATTTTTAATTATAAGTCTTTAGAGTCTAAATATTGATCTTACTTTAATTTTGGTCTCTTTTCAAAATCTAATTATTGCTGTTACTAATTTTTAGATAGAGAAATATGTTTTTTGGAATTCTTTGAAATTTTGGTTGGCTGTGCATCTATATTCCAAAAGAATTTACTTCATGGCAATGAAATATGTGACAGTTCATTATTAAAAATTGGTGATTATATTTTTTGTGTGTTTTGCTTTATTTTAAGTTTATTTATTTTTGGATATTTTTATTTCTTTTTTCCTTTTTATTCTTCAAGAATTTCACTTTTTTGTTTATTTTTTGTTAGATGATTTTTTTTTGAAAATTAAATTAACTAAAAACTCAAAAAACTTTTTTTGAGTTTTTAGTTAATTCATAACCAAACTCTTTTACTGCTTCTCAATTAGAGATGCAATTGTTAATCAATTTCAATGGTATGGATTTCCCCCTCAGCCATTAAGGTCACTTTATTCTAAATCTATTCAAAATTCAAATGACCATGGAACAACTTATTATCTGTATTGGTATAACATTTCTAGTACACAATGCTTTGCAGAAACTTAAATGAAAACAGTTCTTTTAATATGGCTTCATATTACATAATTATTATTTAATTTAGTTTATAAATATATATGTAGGAAAAAGTTGGGGTAGCATTGGACACTTAAAGAATAAAAAATATATTGCTCAAACGCTTATGAAAATGCTTTATTGAATTAAAAGCAAAAAAATAGTTTTAGTGTTTTTTTTATTTCAATAAAGCACAAAAAAGAAAAGAAAAATTGTTAGAAAACAGACATCTAAAAAAACTGAAGAGTAACCCCATATATTTTAAACAGGAGTTCATATTATAAATCATTAGGCACATACTAAATACGTTATTTAACTAGAATTTTACCATGGACATTCCAGTTATAATAATCAGAAGCAGAATATTTTACAAAACCCTTAAGTATAACATCTATATTTAACTCTTCTGAAGAAACAGGTTGAGGATGGTACTTGCAGATAAATAAGATGGATTTGAGCTTCGAACCTCTTAATTGTAAGAAACACTAGTCTACTACCACATTTATGTTTGCTTTTAAACAAACTTTGGGTAGAATACCAGTTTTAAAACTTTTGGATGAACCCTATCAGCTCCAATCACTTTTTAAGTATTTGATTTTTTTAAATAATTTTTGATGATATCAAAGCTGAATTTTGGGTCTTTACAATTTTGTAATTTGATTAAGTTATGAATCATTTTTTTTTTTAATTTTTAAGATAAAAAAAAAATATTTAAAATTTTGAAGATAAAAAAATTATTTAAAATTTTCAAGATAAAAAATTTTCTTAGAAGAAAAAAAAATTTTCTGTTGATTTTTTTGATCACACAATCACATAAATAAAAGCATCATTAAAATTTATTTTTAAAAATCATTTCTTTATTAGTTTATCAACACTATATTATTAGTATTACAAAAGTATATTTTATTAATTAAAATTAAAAAATAAAGTATTTTAATTTAGACGATGATCAATATTGTCAAAAAGATGTTGTTATGGAAACTTGTTTTACCAGTTTAAGGAAATTTTTTGACGATTTTCTTTTTCCGGCTTTTAGCAAGCGAAAAATGGCCGATGAAATTTTGAAATCTGACAAATATTTTCAACGAGTTGATATTAATTATAATATATAGTTTATCAAGTTTAATAACTTATAGTTTAATTACTTATGTTAATGTGTTATATAGTTTATCAATAAAAGGTTATTTTTTTAAAATTAATAAGCTATTCCATAGAACATTAAAATCTATTAAATGAAACTATAATATATATTACATGAAACTTTAAAAATTATGAAAGTTTCATAAAAAGTTTTAAAACATGTTTATTTCTTATTGTTCTTTATTGTTCTTTAGTTGTACACAAATATACAACAAAAAAAAATTAAAATGAAGATATCGTTATAAATAAAGAATAAGGAACGAGGAAACCCGAAGCACCACTAAAAGTTCTGATAACTTTAATGTTTTGATTTGCAATATTTTTATGCATAACTTTAATGTCATCATTACCTCCCACCAAAATCACTATTGAATCACTAAATCTTTTTTAAAGATTTTTTGATTCAATAGTGATTTTTCTCAACTTCTGAATCTAAATCGAATCATCGAGAACTCCTTAGAAAGGCAGTATCAGAATAATCAAGTTTAGATGATATTAATTAGAAAATCTTAAAATTTGTGAAGACTTAATATATAAGTTTATTTAAATTTTTATATTTTAACTTATTCTAGTTATACTATATTATGTTTTGTACATTATATTTTGTGTATTATATAATACATATTTGTTACATTTAATACTCTAGAAATCATTAAAATTTGTATGTAAACCACTTTGTGAACTTCACTTTAAATATTAATATACAAACACCAAAATATTATTTGAAGTAATATTATAATATTACAATTTCTTATAAAATATTAGGAAAAATTTAGGGGAGTGGGACACCCTTTCCTTAAAAAGTTGATTTTCTTGTCAGGATGTACACCAGACAATTTGTTCTCTTCGTAGAAAGGTCTGTTTATTATTCGTTAATATCATGCAATTAAAATTTTTGAAGTAATCATATTTTTAACCTAAACGTACTACATTTGACTAGAGTAACAACATCTTTAGGAAGATGTAACTACATCTGAGAGTTTTTCTCCAAGTCCAATAACATCTGGAAAAATTTCCTCTAGATGTAATTACATCTGAAAAACCTTATATGCTTACTACATCTGTTTAAAATAATGCATTGTTATTTAATAATTTATTCCTGATGTAATTACATTTAAAATAAAAATCATGTAGGCTTTTTTTTTTTTCAACATCTTCGCTTCCAACAAGGCTTTCTGGAAGAGAAAAGATGAAGATTGTAGAGCAAGATAATGATTGACAGACGAATTAAAGGATTGCAAATTATATGAATCAGGAAAGCAAGATGAAGGAAGCGAATTCCAAAGAACTGATGTTCGAGGAAAAAAACTCATTATTCTTAACATAATTGAAACTTATAATAATAAACTTATAATAACTTATAATACATAACTTGTTATTCTTATCATAATTGAAAAGATGTAACTACATCTGTAAAATCTCCAAATGTAGTTTCACAGATGATGTTATACTTAGATAATTTAAAAGATGCAATTTCATTTGTAATATTCATAAACGTTTACACAGATGTCATTAGTCATCAATGAAATTTCAGATGTTGTTGGACAGATGTTATTATACCTCAGTGTATTTGCATATGTTGTTGGACATATTTTGCACGTTATTATGTTTACAGATGTTTTTGGACTGATGTTATTAAATATAGCAAAAACTGATGTTGTTACCCTGACCCGAGTTCAAGGAAATTTCATAATAACATAAAACAATTAAAATAATAAGATAAAATTTAAAAGACGACCTAAAATAGTGACCGAAAATGCTGTCGCTCGCTGAAGACCATTTAGATTTACATTGTCTCCTATACATTAAAAATCACTAAATAAAATAGCATATGTGGAAGCAAAACAAAAATATATATATATTTGCATATATAAAAAATAAGCAATCGCAGTGAATCTTTCAACAAATTTCAGATAGTGGTATTTAAATTTAGTTTTTCACATTTATTTCGAATTTTCGAAAATTCACATTTATTAGACAGTTTATTTTTATATTCCAATATAACAGATTACTTAAAATAATTGATTAATTATGCAGACTTAAATTTTCTTGAGTCTTTAAATACACAACGTTACTAGTCCTTCTTAACCTAAAATAAGGTTATAGGGTCAGCAGTCTACGGTCATCAGATTTTAAAATACAGTCAACTTTTATAGTATTCAAATTAATACTTAAATAAAAACATTTTGTATTATGTTAAATTATACATTTAAAGTTTCCTAATCGTGGTAACAGAATATTGTTTTTATTTTGCTGTAAAATCCAATAAATACAGCAGTTTGGGTTAAAATAGTTCGTAAAAAACTAACGATCGCGGTTTTAACTCTTTTTTAAAATAGTATTGGTTCCATGTCCCTCATCCAGCGCATGCCGTTTTTTGTCGTAATCTTGATTTTTTAGTGTAATTTTGTTGCAATTAATAACGCCTGGAGAAAGTTGTACTATTTTTGAATATTCTACTTCAAGACGCAATCAAGTCGTTTGTTTAAAAAACTCGTCAGAGCTACTTTAAATTTTCAGAAAACTAAAAAAAAATTCCAAATTTTGAAATTAGTATAGGTTTCGGCTAGGAAAAAAAATTTTTTCCTAGTGTTTCTTGTAGTATTGCATAGTCAAAAAAATTTTCTTCAAGTAAAATGTTTTTTTTATTTGTAGTTTGTAATAAAATAAGTACAAAATTTGTAATTTGTTATAAAATTGTAATTTCTGTAATAAAATAAAAAATTTTACTTAAAAAAAGATTAGACTATAATTTTTTTTTTTTTTTTTATGTTGATTTAGGTGCCCCAAGAAGTCCTTAAGGTCTTATCACAGGGCACCGCGGAAGAGCATTTAATAGGAAGTTCACGCCTTCTTCCCAACCGATGTCGCAAAACTTGCCCAGAGGTGGGGTTTGAGCCACGGATCTTACATTTCTGAGGCAAGTGCGCTACCACTGCGCCACGGCTGCTTCAATATTATATAATAGTAATTTTGAAAAGTAATTTTAGGTTGTAAACATATTGAACAAACATATTATAACATAAAACATATTGTCTATGCATATTGACCAAGTCTGTTGTGCATCAATGTTGCAGGCGGCTGGGGTACTAGGCTACTAGAGGATTTTATCATATATATATATATATATATATATATATATATTATTGGTATGAGAAGTCCTTACGGTCTTATCACCAAGCACCGCGGAAAGCGCATTAAACTAGGAAGTTCACACCTCTTTCTTTAGCGATGTCACTTATTGGAATAGAGCCGACATTGAACCAGCGACATCTGGGTTGTGAGCTAGAACTCTAACCACTGCATAATACAATAAATTTTTATAAAATAAAATATTCATAGCCTTTTACTATATTTGACTAACTTTTTTAATTCATCTTTCCAGCTGAATACGCGGGAGTTGCAAAATTGCAGAATATTTTTTTAGTGTGAACATTGAAAAGGTGGAACCGTCAATAAAGTCGGTGATCTTATTGTTGACCTTGTACATATACTTTAAAGGAAAAAAAATCACAGATAAAAATTGCATGAGACAGTCGTTTGAAAGGCTATGTAATTTCGTTACAAGCACTTTTAACCAAGTAACTTAAAACTATAACAAAAGAAATGTCTAAGTTTCAACAGCGGTTCTCTGTGACAAGACCTTAAGGTCTTCTTAGAGTGTCCGCGTTCTATATATTTAACTTTTCCAAGTGTAATTTTTCTCTTTTATATTAGTATCTTAAACGTTTGTATTTTAAATCATGTAATGATGAACAAAATAAAAAAAAATTAAAAATAAAAAGTCTTATAGGATCCTATAGGTTATATAGGAAACCTATAGGAACCATGAGATGACAATGGAAATCCTATTACAATCTTCTAGGTCTTAAAGAATTGCTAAAAAACTACTAGAATTTCTATAGATATCCTATAAGTTTTATAGGAATCCTGTAGGACCTATAGAAGTTCTATTACAATCCAGTAATTCCTATAGGGTTCATATATGTATCCTTTAGGTTCTATAAGATTTATATAGGACCTGCGGCATACCTATGATTTCTATTGCATAATCCTATAAGTCCTATAGGATTCATATATGTATCATATATTTATCTTTTATAGGATCATTATAGGACCAATAAGATACCTATAGGAATGCAGTTGCAATTCTATAGGATTCAAATAGAAAGAATAAAAACTGTTTTGTTAATAGTATAATCCTATATAAATCATGTAATCCTATAAAAAAAATTCATAAACTCCCAGAGGAATAAACCAATTTTCTAAAAAAAGTAATTGTCTATAAGTTCTATTCGATTCTATAGGCTTTTTAAATGTAAAATTTTCTAGCTAATTGGGTCTGTACGAAATCTAAAAAAAATTGAAATAAGGTTACAACATTTTTTTTTTTTTTTTTTTTTTATTCATATATTTGCCGTACATATAACATTTACAAGTTTCGTAAATTAATATTTACAAGTCTCGTGAGTCAAAATATATATAGTGAAATTTATAATTAAATAGTACAGGCCGGACTTCAAGAAGATCGTAATGATCTTATCACGAAGCCCTTACAATGTGTTTGATATATTATTATGATTATGTTAAATATAATTATATATTAAGTACAACTATGTTTATATATTCTTTAAATTTAGCTCATAATAAAAAATAAACTCAAAATAAGCTCAGTATAAAATATTAGACATAACTAGCAGCATAATAACTAAACTTGATAAGAAAAAATAAAGTGTTTTTTTTTTGTGTAATAAACACATTTTGATATATTGTTTGAGAAATTTGAGGAAAAAAAAAAGATTCATTTAGATAATACACATAAACGAGTCAGTTCACTTTGTAGTTGATATATATGTATTTTAATTTATAGTCTTAGAAGAATTCTGAGTATCTGTTTAGATTCAGTATCAGATTTTTTAACTTTTTTTTCAAGAAATTTTGATTGTAAATTGAATCTAGATTGCAGATTGATTTATTTTTAGTTACTAG